TATTAGGCTGGAGGCCATCGCTATTAGGTTGGAGGCCATCGCTATTAATTAGGCTGGAGGCCATCACTATTAGGCTGGAGGCCATCGCTATTGGGCTCGAGGCCATGGCTATTTATTAGGTTGGAGGCCATGGCTATTTATTAGGCTGTAGGCCATCGCTATTAGGTTGGAGGCCATCGCTATTATAGGTTGGAGGCCATCGCTATTAAATAGGCTGTAGTAGGCCATTGCTATAAATTAGGCTGGAGGCCATCGCTATTGGGCTGGAGGCCATCGCTATTAGGCTGGAGGCCATCGCTATTAGGTTGGAGGCCACCGCTATTAGGTTGGAGGTCATCGCTATTAATTAGGCTGGGGGCCTATATTAGGCTGGAGGCCATCGCTATTATAGGCTGTAGGCCATCGCTATTGAGTAGGCTGGAGGCCATCGCTATTAGGCCTCCACGTTATTCGGTTGGAGGCCATCGCTATTAGGTTGGAGGCCATCGGTATTGATTTCGTTGGAGGCCATCACTATTAGGCTGGAGGCCATCGCTATTATAGGTTGTATTGGCCATCGCTATTAATTAGGCTGGAGGCCATCGCTATTAATTAGGCTGGAGGCCATCGCAATTAATTAGGCTGGAGGCCAACGCTATTAGCCATCGCTATTAATTAGGCTGGAGGCCATCGCTATTCGGTTGGAGGCCATCGCTTTTTATGTTGGATCTTGATCTTGATTAGTAAATGCCCTCCCCTCAAACAAATTATGGAGGATCCTCCCTTTTCCTTTGCAGACTCAGATCTTCAGCTCAAGAAGCCCTCAGCACCCAAGCCCTCAGCTCAAGCTTGAAGCAATCTTTACATAAAGGATTGATTGAGGATTTGATGCTTTTGGGAAGCTGTGAGTTTTGAGGAACAACAGAAATCTAACTTTACTAATAATATATACTCCCAGCAAGCCAGCTATTGGCTTAGTAGTATTAAAAGCTATCTTAATTTTTCCAAGGGCCAGGCCAGGGTTGTAACACCTAGTGTTTTGTTGTGCTGCTGCTGGCTGCTTGCCTGAGAAGGGAGTGGGATTGCAGGGACAGGGTTCAGAAGGAACCATAATTAACCCCAAATATTTTTCATATATATAATAAAGAATTAGGATCCCCCCAAAAAATTGACATAATAGAGGACCCTTAAAACAAACAGGTGGTCAAGACATATCTTTCAAAAAATTGGCATTATAGAGGGCCCTATCACTAGTCAGCATCCAACATTAGGTTGGAGGCCATCGCTATAAATTAGGTTGGAGGCCATCGCTATATAAGGCTGGGGGCCATCGCTATTAGGCTGGAGGCCATCGCTATTAGGTTGGAGGCCATTGCTATCAGCTTGGAGGCCATCGCTATTAATTAGGTTGGAGGCCATCGCTTTTAGGTTGGAGCACACTGTGCCGCCCATCCAACTTGGCCCCACAGGTTCGTTCCGCGAAGCTTTCCATGGAGAGAGACCGACCAATGCTAGAGGCCCGCCGTCGTTGGTTCAACATGGTGCAAAAGACCAGTGCGAACCAAGTTGGTCATCCTAAAATGACATCGAGAAACAAAATTGAATAAATTTGGTAAGACGTTGGTGGAACAAGGTTTACAACAACAATGTTCATCCAATTTTCCGTTGATTTTCCGGAATTGCGATTGCAGTAATAGTTCAAGAGCAAACTGCAGCACTTCCAACAGACACAGATCATCTCCTTCCAGGCGCAGATCACAGCATTGTACGATGAGATCGAAGATGCTCCGATTCACGTGGCCTTCGGAGCCGAAGCCGACAGTCACGTTGCCGAGGCCCTGTTGCCAGTGAATGACCTTCGGTCTCCCTCAGTTCGTGTGATAACCAGCCAGCCGAATTGTCTTAGAAACAATTTTTTTTCATTGTCCAATTTTGTTCGTGGTTTGTCATCGAAGCCAATGAATGTTGATTTCTGTTAAATAGTTTTGTCACTGGATTTTGATTGCATGATTGAATCGAAATTCAAACAAACCCAAGGCTACCCAAGTCCAGAAAAATGCCTTGATCTCTTCAACGCCGATGTCTCTGGAACATTGCTCCGAGAAGTGCAAATGCGGTCTGGTGACCGAAATTTACCGCTGAAGGCGTTTTGGCCGTGGGTTGTAAATGTTGCGCATGTTTTTCTTTGGGGTGAAATTCTGAAGACCACTTTGCCTGAAAGGTTCTTGGAGGGAGTGTGAGAGAGACGGGGAGGGAGGCCATGTAAAGCATATCTTTCGGGTGTTTTGCCCTTTCTGGGAGCAGGCTTTCCTAAAGTTGCAGTTTGGAAGGTCGGATACAGAATTCCGCTTCTTTTCGCAATCGACGTCAGCAGTTCCAAGGTTTGCATGCTGTCCTTCATGCCCTTCTTTTTCTATGACACGTCCAGTTGCTTCTTTGCTTGTGAGAACACTGGTAGCTGCAAAAACTCCTTGAAATTCGAGGGGTTCTCAAACATGTCAGAGCTTTATATCGCAGATACCGTTCTGATGCTGACCTATGCCTTATGTATGTCGACACTATATCCTTGCCTCTTGCGAATAATACCCTTGCTGGGCTCACATGTCACAGGTTTGATGGGCGAAGCCCTCGTTGATTGTATGAGTGGCTGTTTGGCATACCTTCATGCATTCATGATGGCGGCTACAGTGCATGGGTGCTTTGTGGGGATGCTGTCTAAGGGGCCTTCCCCCCTCTGGCTGGTCCTATTTTCAATTGCATTTGCTTGGATGATTTTCTTGTGGTTTACTTGTTTCTTTAAACGTTCGGCGTTCGCTTGGATATCAGTTTCTGGCAGTAGATGCTTCGGAAACCTATCGTCGGCTGCTTGAAGCTGCTGCAGCAGTGCATTTGGAACTGCTGTCAAGCGAGAATCGCTCGGCATCATGCTTCCTCAAATAGCTGAAGAACTTTCTTGAGCGGCTACTGATGGGAACTTTGGAATTTCTATCCTCACAGGCCAGGACAGCTTTGTGGAGCCCATCTTGGAAAGGGACAAGGGAATTCCTTCTTATTCTTTTCATATAGTCATTTGCCAATTTCAAATCTTTAATGCCAGTGAAGATCACTTGGTCTTGCAATTTCAAATCTTTTAATGCCAGTGAAGATCATTTGGACTTGGACCCACAAAAAGCGAACTGTGCAGAGAGCCACGGACTGGGTATATAATGGTTTTAATGCTTTGGCTGCACCTTCATCAGTCAGCCCGCCTGGGATTGAGCTGTTCTATGCGGGGCACCATGAGGCGCCCCAAAGATATCTCCAGTCATCTCCACCCCGCTGAGCTCCCACGTAGATGTGCCACGATCGTTAGAGCAGAAGCCAAGCCTTGCATCGAGCAGCATAGCACGGCTCAGAAATAGAGTACAAACACTGACAAGTTCAAAAGCTAGTTTTGGTGGTCTCGAGATGTCTCGGGCCTCTCCAGATTGTTCATTGTTGAGCCCACATCCACCTCTCACCTATGCGTCACATGACCCGCACGACCAGGCCGTGATGAGTTCGGGCAGGTTTTAGGGGTGAAAGGCGCTGGCCAGGCAGAGCTGAGCCACTGAGGGTGCAAAACTGCAGAGAGATGCGTGTGGAGGTCTTCTTTTCTCTTGGGCAGTCAAAGGTGCTTGCAACTTTTCCAGACGTGCTAAGCAAATTTAAATGAATATGCTAGCTATTCTCAGAGGGTTGGCAAGTTGGCAAGTCTATGGTTGCCTTTGTTTTGGGATGTTTTGGGATTGCAGCTACAGCATTGGGAATAGCTTTGCTGACAGGTTCATGGCATCACGCCAGAGGAAGAAGAGGAGGGGCCGAATGCGTTCTGAGTGGGCAGGATAGTTGTGACTCGGACGCTGGAGCATTTCGTGTGTCCATGTTTTCTCTCGGTGATTTTCTTTGCGCCGCCTTTTGGCTTCTCACTTTAGGAAGTACTCCTTTTCTTTGGCATGCTAGCTTCTTGATGCTTGTGAGATTTTTGAGAAACGCGTGGCGCAAAAGACTACAAATGGCTTTGATATGCTTTGATATCAAAAGATATGTGCTGCCGTTTTGGAGCCGAAAGAGCATTGTGGAGATTGGCCCGACATATCCGAAAAAAGTTCCCGGTAAAAATATCCATCCGTTTGGAGCCGGTAATGTTTATGTTTATTAATGTTGTTTTTTTTCGGTTTTTGCCGGGCATGTTGTACGTGTTTTTTTACGCTTCCGCTTTTGCTTTTTGCTTCTGCGCAAGCTTTTGAACTTTTTGCTTTTGCTTTTTTGCTTCTGCTTTTGCTTCTGTTTTTGCTTTTTGCTTCTGCTTTTGCGTTCTGCATTTGCTCTTGCTTCTGCTTTTGCAACTGCAAATAGGCAGCTTGAAGCGCTGCAAGTGTTGCTGCAAGAGGCGGCTTTGTTTACTGCGCTGCTTGCTGCGCTGCTTGCCGTGGCCAGGGTCTACCGAGCGTGTGTTGCTGCAAGCGGCCAGCTTCCAATACTACGCTGGTTGCAGTAGAGACCCTGTGCTGCAGCTTCCATCGCTGCCCGTAAAGTTTAGAGGAGGAAGGTGCCAGTCCAACAGTGCAAGGTGCACACCTTTTGTGTGCCACTCTAGGGTAAATTTTAAAGCCGAAGTGAACGGAGGAAGGTGCCAATCCAACGGTGCATACCTTTTGTGACATGTTGTGAGCCACTCGAGGGTAAAATTTTGAGGGAGGTGCCATTCCAACGGTGCATTACTTTTGTGAGGCGCCCGCAGGTAAAATTTAGAGGAGGAAGGTGCTACTCCAACGGTGCATACCTTTTGTGAACCACCCGAGGTTTAAACTTTGCAGGAGGCAGGTGCCATTCCAACGGTGCATACCTTTTGTAGGTTGAAATTTAGAGGAGGAAGGTGCCGTTCCAACGGTGCATACCTTTTGCAAGCCACCCGAGGGCAAAATTTAGAGGAGGAAGGTGACAGTCCAACGGCGCATACCTTTTCTGAACCACCCAAAGGTATAATTCGCCAACGGTACTTACCTTTTGTGAGCCGCCCGAGGGTAAAATTTACAGGAGGAAGGTGCCACTCCAACGGTGCATGTTTTTTGTTAACAACGCGATGGTAAAGGTTAGGGAGGAAAGCCGAAAAACTCCTAAGAGACTCGAAGCCGGAAGACAACCGCAAAGAAGTCCCGAGTAGAGTTCCTCTCTCCACTTTCCTCACTGCTCCTTCTCCTTCGTTAAGTGGGGTGCCTTTTCTGCTCCCTCCCTTTGTCACTGTCTCGCTCTCTCCCTCCCGCTGGTTTTGCGGCTTCGTCCCCTGACCTTTCTGCTGCTCCTGTTGCTTGTAAAGCACTCCCAGAAAAAAATGGAAATTTCCAAGAAAAACTGAAAAATCATCCGTTTCTAGGTGGTAATCAGAATAGTCAGCACTGATACTGTATCTTCAAGGGTCAAAAGAATGTGTTTAACGTGTTTCAACCTACTTGGATCTACTTGTTTTTTGTACTAATTTGACATGTTTCTTCACTTTGCACCGATCAACAGGAGCCTGAAGTGAAGATTGAGGCAGGGACTGAGATGCGAGGGCTGTAGATTCGTAGAGGATGGTATAACATTAATGTATCTTTAAGAGATTTTAGAGGGCCGGGTACAATTAGATTTTAGAGAGCCGGGTACAATTGAACGCGACAAGGCTGAGTACTCTTGTTGGTTTCCTCCCACCCACGTTCATCCCGACTCAGGTGTTGATGTTCCTCCCATATTCAAGGGCGGGTTCGATACACTCTGAGTCCATGGCACCATTTTTGACCTGACAGGAAGGGCAGCTTGTTCACATGGGGAGTGGGACATGACCTGAGAAATTGACTCATATAGAGTGCATTCAAGCCTTTTCTTCCGATCGGAACTGGCTTTGAGGTTTCCACTTCGTCCTCTGGTGGGAGTGAAGCTAAGGCATGATCGTCGGACCAACTGGTTCGAGCGAATGTGGGAGGGGCCACATCATAGCCCTTGAAGTGACCAGAAACGACATTGATCGAGTCGGATGGCATCATATGGCATCTTAGAGGAGAGATAGAGATGCGATCAAATGGATGATGGGACCCCGGACCCCTCAATCTTCCTCAACCTACCTCAGCAGCAGATTATATACTATATACATATGCTTTATAAAAAGCGCTGATGAGTGGACCAAGAGTTTGATTGATTTATATAAACCCAAGGAGCCAGATGTTCAACATATCCCAAGCATTGTTTGGTCATTGTTGATTGTTCTCTTGATACAATTCTGCAGCATAGAGAACTTCAAGACCAGCAATAAACATCGAAAGACGAGGGCTTTGTGGATTTGGTGATCAGAGCGATCTCTCCACACGGCCAGGCCGCGGGAGAATGGATGAAAGGCGACGGGATGGAATTTTCAAGAGCATCCGTTTGGGGGAGTTAGGACATGTTAGGCCCGCCACAGTGGAAAGAACTAGAATGTGAAAGAATGCATCAGTATCAACAAACACGTGCAACCTGATGGCAATGGAAAATGACCTTGGTGTTGTCTCAACAAGTGCGTCAGCAAAGTGCAAAGTGGTGTTCGAAAGGATCTTTCGCATTCTGTAGTCTTGCTTGTTCACTGTTTGCGGCTGCATTTGTTCATAAATCCTAGCGCCGCGTTGCAGTTGCTTGTTGCGATGATGAGATTTAAATGTTTACTCACTTATTGTATGTCACTGAACATATTGCCATGTCCAATTCGCAGATGCCTTGGACTTGACGGATGACTGATGTGGAGTGATCCACAGTTCGCTGAAAGTATGTTCAGTTTTTCCGGCTCCTCACATTTACTGTAAATGCCCGGAGTCAAACGGTGCCTCAACTTTCCCAAAGACCTCTGGAAACTTAGCCTCGTTCTTCATCGACCAATTTTTCATAATTTTTACCGACATTTTCTCAATTCCATTTTTTCCAGACATCGTTATTGTAGTTTTCTTTTATTAAGTAGCTACTTGCTCCTAGTAGTACGGCCAGGAGCCCCTAGTAGCGTTCTTGCTCCTAGTAGCGATGCCCTTTGCTCCTAGTGGCGAACCTTGTTACTACGTATATGTTTTCTTGCAAGAAAAAACAATACGATTGACACTTCCCATTGAGGCCCATTGCCCATAGCCCGGTTCAGGCGCTGGCGCCCGGCGCCTGGCGCAGCTATTGCAGGGTCGCACCTTGGCGCCGAAGATCACGGCGGCGGAGGCTGCGGAGCAGCGGTGTGCAGCGGTGCAGCGTGGGAATCGACCGGACTAGTGCGATGCTTAGTGGCTTAGCTTGGGAGCATGAAGAGAGATATATCTGAATGGGTCGTTCAACCTGGAGCCCGACCAGTCCACCATGTAGCAAAAGACCTTCCAGTTAGGTCAACCAAGGGATCCTGGTTTTAACCCACAGCCATATGCTGGGCACATGGAGCAACAATGAGCAGCGACCAAGAAAAAGCTGGTTCACCAGGTCACGTGAAAAGGGCATGTGGACATACCACCTGGCGCCTTTCGGACAACACAAAGCCCTGTTTTTCCAGGAGGCAGAGATCACACCCATTTTTGGTTGAGGAGTGTCCACAATCAACATCGACCCCTGCTTGTTTGTTTACTTATCCTATCTTCTGCTTTTGACTAGGGCTACGGCTTTTCCATGCTTTTCCACTGCCTTGAGCTGAGGTACACCCACGTACCAAAGGGAGCACCTGAGTCTTAGAAACATGCTTTTAACACATACTTTGCAAAAGGATGAAACTTGCGTTTGGAACTACTACTCGTTTAGAGAAAACATCTATCGTTATAGGCATAAGTTACAGCGCAAAGAAAAACAGAGGAATGGAACGGCTTGCGCCGTACACGTTGGTAAAAATGTTCATCAGATGTATATTCGGGCCTGTTCAATTGCATGGGATAGATGGGAGCAAGCCCACCAGGTCTGTTGGACTGTGTGATTTTTGCTTTTTAGCGCCGCACAACACACCTCTCGATTGATCGGAATTCTGCTCCGCAGGTTGCGCAGGCGCGGAGGGGAAGAGTGCAGCGTATTGGGCCTGAAGGTGGCTCAGCAATCAAGCTTGTATGATCTTGTATGTTAAAAAGAATGAGTTTCGTGTTTGTGTGGGTCATGTTTAAAATTAGGCTTCCAGATTGCAGGGTCATCCA